CACACACACACACACACACACACACACACACACACACACAAACACAGTGTGTGTATGTGAGACACACTGAAGCTCTGCCGCCTTCCCTCAGTCTCCTCTCTCGTCTTCAGGTTCTCCTCTGGCTGCTCTGAATCCCATGAATGAAATTTCACAGCTTCTGTTGGAAAAAAAAAGAAGAAAAACATGTCACATCTTCCCGGCACGTCTCTTGTTCTTCTTCTTCCTCAGGTTACTGAGACAATGAGAAGGGAAAGAAAAGAGAGCAGAGAAGGGTGATGCCGTACTGATGCAAGCTTTTTGCCATGATGACATGAATGTGTCATTTCTCATCGGCTGGACACATGTCGGTCATTTTTCTTCTTCTTCAGGTTAAATGACACGACAGGTTGACGACACGAGAGATCCGCCCATCCTACCATCCATCGTCCCCTGCCAGTCCATGCATAATGCTCCCTCATCATGACTGTATTAGGCCAGAAAGATGGCTTGTATACATTGATGATTAGAGTGCATAGTGTTTGGCATAAGAGGGGCAAAGATACAATTTTTTTTGGTGGGTGAGGGTTCGCGAGGGCGCAAGTTTTTTTTTTGGGAAAAATAGGGCGCAGTCACAGTTTCAGTTTGGAAAATGAGCTTCAGTCACGATTTCATGAATGTTGTGCCAAACCAAGGAAAATCGCGAATGTATACAACCTATAGTCTTCCCCCGAATACAACGCACGGTCATTTTAGCTGAATTTGGGCTATCTTTCAGTCTAAATTCAGCTATAATGACCGTGCGTTGTATTCGGGGGAAGACTGTAGCCTTAAGGACCGGTGGGGATGTGTTGTATTCAAGGGATGAGTGAAGTGGACTTCAAACTGAAATTCGTGACTGCACCCTTGTTGCCCCCGTTTGTTTGTTTGTTTGTTTGTTTGTTTGTTTGTTTTTTAAATCCCTTCGTTTTCTGCTGCATCGCCACAGGGAGCATGCGAAACGAAAACCAACGAGTACCAAAAAAAAAAAAAAAAAAAAAAAAAAAAAAGAAAAAAAAAAAAAAAAAAGAAAAAAAAAAGACTAGTCTTGTTCGATTTCATGCACGCAGTCACAAATGGTATCTGGCGGTGTGGCCGTTCCTCGCGACCAGGAGGATTTCTGGCCGGACCGCACCGCATAGGGTTGAGTTCGCCAGTGCCAGGTTTTCCGGCTAGACCGGGACGAGGTCCCACTTGCGCAAATTAGGAGATTTCCGCCGTTGATCTTTGCTATCTACGGTCAGTATCTCTTAATTCGTGACAGTGGGACCGAGCCCCCCGGATGAAGATGTCCGGGGCCAATGGTTGGCCAGTGTGGTCCTCAGTTTTGTTTTTCGGACTTGGCGCGATTTGCAGACCTGATCTCGTAGGAGTTCGGTTTCTATTTCTTTTCGGCCCAGTGAGCTCGGGCCTGTTGTGGTTGTTGCGGATTTGGCTTGCCACTTCTCCAGACACCTTTGGCCAAGGGTACATCGTTCGCACTTTTGTCTTTTTCGTAGGCTTTGTTTTCAGGCCAGTCCTTGCGAACAAGTTTTCGACCGGTAGTGCCCGCGGCCGCGGGACCCGAAGCCTTTGGTAACCACAAATGGCCTAAGCGGGGGACCCGAAGCTGCGGTATCGATGTTTGTTTTTATTCGGATGATTGGTGGTATGCATTATTTTCAATCCTTTTTTTTTTCTTTTTTTTTTCCCAAATCATTTTGATGACTATCATTTCCTATTGCTTTCAGTACGTGCGTCTACCGATTGCCGTCTCACAAATTGCATCTCTTCATCGTAATTCCAGGCACCACCCGACCAAAATGGCAGGCGGCGCCAAACCAAAACAAAAGAAAAACTCTCCTGCTGGCGCTTTGGCAAAGCTTGGCACGCTGTTCTGCTCTGCATCGGCAAGAAGAGGGCTCAGAGGATACTGGCAGTTTAAACACCACCAGTACACGCCCCCAGCCTTGCAGAATCCGAAACTTGTCGCCACAAGAAAATGAGCAAGGCCGAAACGTTAAACGCTGGGCCCGCCGTGGATAAATTCAATTGGCGTTCGCGTTTTCGTTTCGCGCCTCCAGAATTTGACGTGTCAGAGACCCGCGGCCCAGGTGCCCATGTACTGGTGCTTCAAGTATCTGCTCCCTTTTTTTTTTCCCTCTCTCTCTCTCTCTCTCTAATTCAGAATTATTTCACGTCATTCATCAAGAAGTGAACTTGTATCTGTACTTCATCAAGACTTCATGGGTGTACCAACTCAGGTACGTAGGCCCGTTGCTTCTGCTGCGTTCGCATCCCCGTGACAAAGTCTAATAAGATGCACCAAAAATTTGGCAGAAAACGAAAACAAAATAAAACAAAACAGAAAATCAAGAATCAGGGGCTAGGTCCCACTTGCAGGAATTAAGAGATCCTGACCGTCCATAGAGGAGATCAACAGCCGAAGTCTCTTAATCCATGCAAGTGGGACCTTGCCCCAGGGCCTTCAAACCCACCCACCGCCCACCGACGCACCCCAGAAAAAAAAAAAGAAAAAAAAAAAAGGAGCAGGGCCTTCAACCCAAAAAAAAAGAAAAGAGAAAAAAAAAAAAAAGGATCAGGGCCTCGCTCCACCATTCTGGATTTCGTGTTTTTTTAGAGTGGTGCGTGTGTAGTGAAGAAAGAAACGTTGCCAGCAATAAGACAAAAAATGAGAACACGCCAGCAAATAAGACAAAAATGCACGACAGCTGCAAAGAAAATTGTCACAAATTTATTTAAAAAAAAAAAAAAACTCGTCACAAGTGGAAGACTAAACATAGGTTGCACCTGGACGGCTCCTCTCGCATTTCACGTTTTTTTTTTTTTTTTTTTCAACATATCATTTCAGGTTTTGGAACATAAAGCAGGCTGTGTGTCTTGCACTGGAGAATTTGGTAGGCGGAGTTCGAATGTCCAATGCAAGGACTGGGAGGGGACCGCTCGGCCGCGACCGGTCCAATCACTACGCACTCACTGTCCACTGCAGACACCTTGCTCGCCACGGAATGACGTCTCTAGAAACATAAGGCACGCTGTGTGTCTTGGACTAGTTAATTAGGTCCAATGCCTGATGCAAGGACCGGGAGGGGACTGCTCGCCCGCAACCCGTCCAATCAATACACACTCGCTGACGACGGCGGACATCTTGCTCGCCACGGAATGATGTCTCTAGAAACATAAGGCACGTGACATCTCTAGAAACATAAGGCACGCTGTGTGTCTTGAACTAGAGAACTAGGGCCAATGCCTGATGCAAGGACCGGAAGGGGACAGCTCAGCCGCAAGAGGTCCAATGCACACTCGCTGACGACGGCGGACATCTTGCCCTGCCAGGAAATGATGTCAGGATCCCCCCTGGGTCCCCGATCGTGCCACCGGAGATCCGGTGAAGAATTTCAAAATACTCAAAAAAAAAAAAAAAAACATTGTTAAACGAGTTTGAAAAAACTGTGCCCAGCTGTGCTCATCAGAACGAGAACACTTTGTCATCCTTCCGACGCGGACGATCGGGTATAGAACCTGCAAGAGTGCACAAGACAAAAAGATTGAACAAATTAATGTCAGATCCAGTCAGGCAGGGGAGAAAAACAAACAAACAAAAAAGAAGAAGAAGAAGAAATTGACATCAGAGCGAATCGACTTGTCAGCAACCAACCCGTTGTACACGTGGAACTCGATCCGAGGAATATCAACTTGCATCAGATGTCAGAGTCCGATCGCATTGGGGAAAAAAAAAAAAAAAAAAAAAGAAAGAAAGAAAGAAAGAAAGAAAGAAAGATGATCTCAGATCTCATTGGGAAAAACTGTGTTCCAATGAATTGGGGTGCTGGGACCGTTCCTTGTGTGCACGTGTGTGTGTGTGTGTGTGTGTGTGTGTGTGTGTGTGTGTGTGTGTGCGTGTGTGGTTTCTTTTCTCCAAAAAGGACCGATGGCCTTGAGATATCATATCATATCATACCATCATGAAACGGACCCGCCTTAGGTAATTCAGAATTATAGTAGGAGTATCTTACTCGTCTGCTTCCAGTGGAGTTCGAACTCAGGACCTGGTCTGTATTTCATCAACAGTTCAGTCCAGGGGGGGTGTACCAACTGAGCTAGGCGGCCTAGGCCAGCTAATGCTAGCCCTGTTTTCCCCCAAGCATGGAAAAAAAAAAAAAAAAAAAAAAAAAAAAAAGTGTCAAGAGTCAGATGACTCAGTTCTCATCGCAACTGGATATGGTCTGATATTCGAATAAAGCCGAAGGTTTCGAAAAAATACAAAACATAGATAAAGACGAAGACAACAAAATCAGACGTGGGAACTTTTTCTTGACCCCACCTTGCACATCATTGCAGTCAGATACATCCAGAGTCGGCAGTAATTACACTCGGATACATCCAGAAAAGTACTACTGTAGTACTGTGAGGACACTCTCATGTGAGTCCTGATCTCTTCGAAGTTCTTGTACGGACAGTCCTTTCTTTGACTCCTTTCATTTATTTATTTATTTTTTATTATTATTATTATTATTTTTTTTTTTTGGTACGGACAGTCTCGACTCCAAAAAATCTTAAACTATATAGAAAAAAAAAAAAAAAAAATCTTAAACTCGGTAACTTCAATAATTGCACACATGCCTCTGCATATTCAATGATTTTATGCTTTTTTTCTTTTTTTTTCCCTCCCAATGCTGCCGTGTTCACGCAGATATCTTTGCTCAACCTAGAATGTGCGAGGAAGGCTCCACATGGACTGACAACGCAGGTCATGCACCTAGCCATCTGCACGTCCAGGTGCGTTCTGACAGCCACATGAGCACAAAGAAGGCATGATGTCAAGACCCCCCCCTCCTCAGCCCCCCCTCTACATCCAAAGATGGGTGCTCCCCTTGCTATGGTATTGTGCTGCGCGCTTGCGACATTGAGATATGGCGCGCTGCTCGAACTGGGCGCGTTTTTTGGCGAAAGGTGCAGAGAATCACGATTTATCTGTTTTTTTTTTGTTTTTTTTTTTCTGCATCGCTGCATAAAACACGTCCTGATTCAGACCCTCAATCCTCTTTACTGGTGGGACCTGGCCCCCACTGTCAGATTACACAACCAATTAAAGCAAAATGTACAAAAGAAGAAACGAATGGCCAGAGGGACCACATCATTCCTCTCTTATTACATGAGGAGGGAAAAAAAAAAAAAAAAAAAAGATCACCCAAAGGGGCCAAAGCGTTCCCGCTTAAACCACCAGTACGTTTCCCCACTATGAAAAAAACATGCGGCTTGCGTGGCCTCTGGAACAAAATGGCTGGCCGCGCGAGCCAAAAGGAGGCCCGCGCTGGCTCGTTTTTTTGGGGGCACGCAGGGCGTCTCTGGCCCCAGAGAAAAAAACATGCGGCTTGCAGGGCCTCTGGAACAAAACGGCTGGCAGCGCCAGCCAAAAGGAGGCCCGTGATGGCTCGTTTTTTGGGGGGCGCGCAGGGCGTCTCTGGCCCCGCTATGAAAAAAACATGCGTCTTGCAGGGCCTCTGGAACAACATGGCTGGCAGCGCCAGCCAAAAGCAGGCCCGCGCTAGCTCGGTTTTTGGGGGGGGCGCAGGGCATCTCTGGCCCCGGAGAAAAGTACCTCGGAGTACTGGTGGGTTAAGCCGAATCCTTTTTCGGCTATGGCTATCGATCTTTTTCTTTTCTTTTCCCATTCCAGTTTTAACCGTTGGTCTTCACGATTCAGTGGCCAGAAATGAAGAATCCCGTCCTTCAGGACATCCAGCAAAATTGGAATGATACTCAGAGAAGATCAACATGCCCCCTGATCAACGATGACACCACATGACCAAAAAAAAAAAAAAAAAAAAAAAAGAAAAAAAGATGAGAAAGAGGAAGAATGACAGCGCTTGAGATCAGGTTGCGAACGGTAGAGCTATGGGCAAAAATTCACTTCTTGGAAAGAAGATGAGAAAAAAAAAAAAAAAAAAAAAGAAAAAAAGATGACACCGCATAGCTCGAGAAATGGTCCCAAATTAAAAAAAAAAGAAAAAAAGAAAAAGGTCATCCGTGAAGATTGGAACGATACCGAGACTGAAAATTAGCATGCCCTCAGCACTCTACCGTGTTCACACAAATGGAATGCCCATCGGTTGTTGGTTTGTCCATGCAACGCAAAAAAGGGCAAGTATCGCAAAAAAGAGTAAGTCTCTCAAAAAAGGGTACGACTCTCGATACATACAAAAAAAGGCCAAGGCTGGGGTGACGCCGTGACGGTGGTCAGATCGCGACCAGCTGAGATCCAAGGCTGAGAAGCCCCCGACGGAGAATCAGTGGCAAAACGCAGAGCGGAAGATGATATGCTGACGATTGCTGAAGAACGTTTAACTCCGTTGTGGAAAAAGCTTTTTCCACAAAATATGATTCCACTTTGTTGTGGAGGGAAACAGCTCCAAAATATGATTTTTTCAACTTCGTTTGGAGGCAGGTAATACTTGCAAGCCTCAGATTGTTTTGCCAATGATTGCAATTTGCAATGATTGGTTCTTCGTTGTGGAAACAGATCAAGCTTTTTTTTAATATTATTAAATTTTTTAATTTAAATCTGTTTCCACAACAAAGTTAACTGCTCTTTTTCAGCAATCATCTCGACTCCAGATGTACTTGGCAAAACACAGAGCAGAAGCAGATATGCTGAAGAATCAGTGGCAGCGCTGACGCTCGCAAGTATATTATTATGACCTGGCGCTAAATGTACTTAGCTGCCGCTGCGGCTCTCTTTTTTTTTTTTTTTTTTTTCGTTGTTGTTGTGACAGATGGCTCCGATCTAGTCTAGCTTGGAAGGGAATGAAGATCTTCAGATCTGATGAGTGTCTCTCGCTTCGAAAGGCACAAAGATCTCTACGGATTGCTCGCGTTGCAGATGGGCGTGGGAACGCAAGAGACACCTGTGGGCTTTCGTGTCCGCAGTCAAGAAGAGGAATTGGGATGCGCGGGGCCAGTCACTGTGTACACAGTGATCATCTGGAGCATAGGGGGGGAGAGAAGAGGGGTCCGACATTGTTGAAGGTGTCTGGATATAACCCCTTTCTTTTTTTTTTTAATTCTATTTGGGGGACGTTTATTTTATTACAAAGGGATATGCTGGACCCGGTTTCCAGGGCCGAGGTCCCACTAGCAAAAAGGATAGGATCGAGCTCCTGAATCTGGATGCCTTTTAAGCACAGATGCAGAAAAGCAGTTCAATCTCGATTTCCTGCACATATATCCATAAACACGTCCAGATGCAGGGCATTCGATCCGATCCTCTTTGCTAGTGGGACCACGCCCCAGGAGCCTAAGCTGGCTGGGTAAAGGCCCCATCATTTCTCGGGATATTGTGGGGTTTGCCCCCGCCCCCTGTTCCTTTGTTATATTGGAATAGAAGTGTCTACTGTTCTCAGGAAAAAAAAAAAAAAAAAAAAAGAATGCCCAGTCATTATAGCTGTATCTGTGGCAAACTTCAGTCCAGATACGGCAATAATGACGATGGAGTTGCGTGGAGACGCAGGTGGCCTGTCAGAAAAGACATGCCTGAAACAAGCCAGTCTGACAAATACATGTGGCAGGCTTGCCATTTTTCACAGCAATCACGCCACCCCCTCCCCCCCCGACCCCCCCCGCGGCTGTATTTGTGGCAAACTTCAGTCCAGATAAGGTACGGTAATAATGATCATGTGCCCCCCCCCGACAAACAAAAAAAAAAAAGAAAAAAGAAAAAAAGATCATGGAGTTGTATGAAGAGGCAGGTGGGCTGTCAGAAAAGACAAGCCTGCAGCAAGCCAGTCTGACAAATATATAGGGCGGGCTTGGCTTCCCCTGGCCCAAGGAAGGAGGGTTGAAGCGTAAAAAAAACAACGACAAGACAGACCTCCAGGCCCTGCAAATGAAAATGATGGACCTTAGGTTCTTTTGTTTTTTTCCTTTTTATCCCTTTTTCCCTTTTTTCTTTCTTTCGAAGGATGATGGATATTTGGACTCTTGCCCTCAGGGACCCTTTTAATTAAAAATAAAAAATAAAAAATAAAAAAGCTTTGCACTCTTTTTATTAAGTTTTAACTCTCATCCAGCGGCCTAGCTCAGTTGGTTAGGCACGCAAGTGGCATTCAGGAGGTTGTGGGTTCGAGCCCCACAAGCGCCTGCGGCGCACTTAGTGCCAACCAACAGTGATAGTCTGCTTGATGCCTCTGATTGGTAATAGCAGGGTCCTTGGCCAACACGGGTGCGAGTGTGTGTGAGTGTGAGTGGGTTGTGTGTGGTGTGTGGGAGAGTGTTGGCCTTAGACACTGCTGTTATTCGGTTGGGGGTGGGGAACGATGAAAACGGAGGCGCAGCTACTGGCAAAATGCTCGGTTTCCGGCAATGGAAAGAGAGATCGTCGTCTTTAAAAAAAAAAAAAAAAAAAAAAAATATCGGTCTTTGCGTTGGAGGAGTTCAACTTTTATCACTGTTCTATTCTCCTCATGTGTGCTTGGAAGATGAGTGACGTAGACCCATTTCAACATTGCGGGGAGAAAAAGAAG